TGCCATAAAGAGTTGACGTAATGTAATGGAAAGTTGAGACAATGCAATAATAGTGTGGGTTAATGTCATAAAAAGTTGACCTAATGTAAAGGAAAGTTGACACAATGCAATAGCAGTGCGAGTAAATGTCATAAAGAGTTGACATAATGTAATGGAACGTTGACACAATGTAATCGCAGTGTTCTGCTATAAGGCAGTGATGGCGTTCCATAGAAAACATTGGAAATCCTTTTCTATCCCATGTTTAATAGTTCACAATCGATGTTTTACACTGTTTTTATATAGGACGCCACATCTTTTTACTTCATCACGCTAACACAAAAACCGTTATGACGTCATAACTGCACTTATCTGTGGGATATGAAAACAATATTACATGAGCTATAATCACGGGGTGAAGGGGTAAACATAGGATAAAAGATACCACAGAGTCTGACACATCTGTTTCCTACTTGGATATTTTACTTGAAAAAGACGTTAATGGTAATTAAACAAAGCTCTATGATAAACGTGGTGACTTTAACTTTTCTATCGTCAACTTCCCTTACTTATGCAGCAATATACCTTCATCACCTGCATACGGAGCATATATATCTCAGTTGATTCGATACGCCAGTGCATGCTCTATGTATGAACAATTTCTAAAAACGAGGTAAATTATTGGCAAACAAGTAGTAGACACAACAACTTTAGCAATCTCGTTTAAAGTCATAATTTCGTAAATTCTATGGTCGATACAATCACCTTGTCAGCAAATACACTTTATCATTGAGTCAAATGCTGACTGATGTTTTACATACTAATTGTTTGTCCATTATATATACTGAATTGACGACGGATTTCCCTGTTATCTCTTAAACATGTCAAAGAGTACACGGCGGGTGTGACCGGCTGCAGGGATTGCTCACTCTTCCATGGCACCTAATCCCCCTATGATGTTTTGGAGGTCTGTGTTTGCTCTGTTCCTATTTTGTTTTATTGTTTTATGAACTTGATATTGAATACTGTTCTTTATATCCATATCCTTCATTATTCCGGTTTGTTTTCATTCAAAATAGGAATAATTGTTATAAACTGAAGATGCAGTAATATTTTATAGAAGGTATGCAAATTTCCCTTCTCTTGCATTTTAGTCAATCTGTGATACTCTGTGTTCATAATGTGTACATTATGATGATACCAAACATATCAAGATTTTATTTTTAAAATGAATATACAATGTAATATAATTAAATTCCGGCAATGCAAGCTATGAATATTATCACACATCCATATTTGTGTCTTCTTTTCAGAAATTTAAAAGATGTTTCAGTTGGATAGAAAAGATGTACCTGAATTCATTAACAATAGGACAGTGGGACTGCTGGTGATTTCATTATTTGTGGTTCTAGCATCAGTGTGGTACTATAATTCGAAAATTTCATACGAGGATGCAAGAAAAAATAACGATCAATTCATATCTAATGATGCAAAGAATATGAGTACCGGTAATATATCATCAGATGTAGAACAGCTAAAATTAAGTTTAGGTCTCTTACAAGAAAATCTAACATTGATTGGTACTGATCATGAATCAATGTCTGAAAGAATAGAGAACCTTCAGTCTTACTCAATGACAACTGATATCAATATATTAAATATGAATAGCACAATTAAAGAAATCAAGGAAAATGTCAAGCAGATAAATGATACGTTATATAAAAGTAAAAGTGATATGGCGATAGAAAAAGGAAACAGTGATAAGAGAATTGTTTTACTGGAGACAGATCTTCGTCAGTGTAACTCGAGGCTGCAGACAATTATGGATGAAAATGCTCAAAAATATACCACGTTAGAAAACAAATTAAACCTTCTTTCCAAAGAGCATATGGACATTGAAGGAAAGTATAAAGAGCTACTGAAAAGAATGTCAGAAACAGAGATGGAGATAAAAGAACAAGGGCAGACAGGTGCGCGCCTTGAAAAGTCAAGTAAAGAGAACATCAACTATATGGAAAAAAGTAGAAATCACGTCACACTGGGGTAAGGCGACAATTCTAATCGTCAAATGTGATAATTATGTTGCAAATTTTTATTACTTTTTAATTTAAAAGTGCGAGTTACTTAGCATCCCATTAAAAATGATTATGTGATAATGATTAAATTTGACGCAATAGAGTATCAATCCATATATATCTATAATTACTTCTTGATACGTTACATTATTGTTCTCACCTCATCTTTATTTCTTAAAGATTAAATAATTGTACAACGCTAGATCAAGATTACAATAAAAGCGTTGTATTTCTCCGCGTATATTCTTTTTTACATACTTTTTGTTTTAATTTCTGTTTTAGTGGATATCATTTTGGTGATCATAATTCTTATTTTGCTGATCACGATCACTGCTATGACAAAAGGAAGCAGCAATGTAATGTATTTTTAGAATACTATTATAAAAAAAAACACATTTAATTTTCATAAAATATAAAATACTAGTACCAATTCATTGTAGTTGACATGCATATCTGTCCTTTAATTTATGAAGCGGTTACGATTGATCTATGAAATTTATTTTAAATTTTCTTTCCTCTTGCCCTAATTCAGAGAAACACAGGTGTTGGTTTTGCGCCTGATAAAGGCGAGGTCATCCAATTGGAAAAGAAACCAGCTGTGGTCAGCTTTAATCCTTTTTCATCTGAAGCCCACAAGAGACTGGCAGATCTCTTTCTTGATGATTACCATTACATCATCGTACACAGTTCTCAAGACATATCAAAAATCCAATCTAAGGTAGAAGCATAGATTTAATCATTATCTTTGAAAAAAAAACCCAAAGTATCATTAACGTTAAAAACGTAAAACTAAACGTTTAATTTTAAGCTTAAAGTTTAAATCCAATTAGGTTGTTTACCTCTTTGTGGATGTTAACGATCGCAATATCATTTTGGAGGCCGAGACAGAGACCCAACAAATCAAAAGGGAAACCGTAGAAACCATAAGGCGTATTGGAGGTACTTTAATCCGTTCGTGAGCATTTTATGACCTATTTACTGTTTATGCCTTAATACTTTGTCCAATTATGCTTATCAAAATTTATTTTTATGACATTCGGTATGAAAAATTTGTGATACATGGTATAATTGTTTGATACATGCACCTTTAATGAAGATTTATGCTTTTAATGCTTAATGCTTAATACCCTTGCTTCTTGATTTCAACAGGTACGCCAGTTGTGATTTACAGACTGCACTCAGAATCTAGGAATCTAGAAAATGGAAAGCTCTATTCGGACAAATTAACCTCAATACAGAGTCATCCACTTTTGCGAGACCTCTCATCAAAGAACTGTGTACTTAGTATTGACAGAGTATTCACTGAATATCAACGAACTCATCTGCTGAATTTCTTACTCTAAAAGTACTCTAAAAAATTTATATATTCCAGTCTTGAATATAATTCGGAAAATGATACTTAAAAAATGATCACTAAATGATACCCCCCCCGCCTCCCATATGGTTATAACTGGTGAAAAAGTCCATGTTTTCCTGTGGCCGGGAAACCCAAAATATGTGTCGGATCAAAAAGAAAAATAGAAGGTGCACAATGGCAATATGTAATAAAGATTCTGTGCACGTTTCATCAAATTTCATTCAGTGGTATAAGAGGAGTTGCGGTACAGACGGACGGACGGAATTAACGATTACTATACCTCCCGCTTTTCAAGCGGGGGTATGATAAAACATATTTATGTAGACATGCAACGTATTTATTTCAACATGCATCTAATTTATGTCAACATGCATCTAATTTATGTCAACATGCAAGATATTTATATAGACATGCAAATTATTTATGTCAACATTTTAGATAGTTATGTCAACATGTGAGATAATTATGTCAACATTCAAGATAATTGTGTCAACATGCGGCTTATTTATGTCAACATGCAAGGAATTATGTTAACATGTAAGATATGTAAAATGATATGCAACTTAATATCTTTCACCTTGATATAAATATCTTGTATATGAATATGTAAATGTTATTATAATTATCTTGCATGTGAACATAAATATCTTGCATGTCTACATAATTATCTTGCATGTGAACATTAGTATCTTGCATGATAATATAATATGCTTGCGTGTTCACATAAATAAGTTGCATGTCTACATAATTAACTCGCATGCTGACGTAAACTTTTTGCATGTCTACATAAATATTACGCATGGTAACATAAGTTAACCGCATCTTGCATAATGATGTTTCATCTTGCATCTACGATGTCAGAATCGGGCTTACGTACGTGATTTTAATCATATTAAAATGATATTCTCTCACAAGATGTGTAACTTGCATGTAAAAAAAATATCTTGCATGTCAACATAATTAACTTGCATGTTGATATATTTTCTTGCATGTTAACTTTATTTATCTTGCATGTAGGGGACAGAAATATACCACCATAGTCAGATCTTACTTTGACCCAATTAAAAGTATATTGCAATTGATCTCACCTCGGATTTCAGAGAATGTTTCTTCTGCTCACAGTTATTTTTGTTAAATTGTACTTTTGAGTACTAGTTTGTTTTCTGTTTCTCATCTTTAAAATTCATTGATCAAATTTATTTATGCGAATACATACATGTATAAACAAAATAACAATGGAATTGGTATTGCACGTCCGTCAGCAAACATATTTTGATTTCTTTACATTCCTTTTTTTCATACATTATGACAATTATATTACGCAAAAAGACGACAGATCGAAATATGAAGTTTGACAGATATATGAACTGTATTTAGAACCTCGCTTATGTATTATTTAGAGAACGAGACGGGTTCTGTATCGTAGATACAAATTTGGGGGTGGAGACGAGTGCGCGAGCACGAGTCTCCACCCCCAAATTTGTATCTACGATACAGAACCTGTCGAGTTCTCTAAATGATTTGTGACACGATCAATCAAAAATAGCTCCGCCCACTTTATAACTTTGCAGCATCCAAACTTCCGCCAGAGTTCTGTAGATGAGGCCCCGACGGGGAGTGCGCATCCGCAGTATATATATTTTCACGGAAAACGTAAAATTCGGTCAGATTAGTTTTGACAATTTAACGGGGTAGACGTAATCGAGTGATAGTCAGTCTTAATGGATAAGGTGGAGGATTTAACCGTCATTGTTGTGATCTATTAAATTGAAGATGGAGATTTATCATAAATTTATTTCACTGAGGGGTCTTAAAATCCCGGTTTATCTAGATTAACAAAAACAGGATTTACAGAAAATTCTTCGATGGACTTTGATGTCACGGATTTTTATTTTCAAATTGAATTGCGACATTAAGAGACGTATGGCTGTCGTCAGCGAGAAGGATTTTAAAAAATAAAAACGCGGAAAAAATGGACTTGAATGATTTTGCACGAGGAGAGTGGATGTTTTCCGTTATTGCTAATTTTCCGTTTCCTTTGGAGCGAAATTACGTACAGAGGATGTTTTCCGTTATTACGAAGTTTCCTTTTACTTTGGATCGAAATTACGTGTAAATTCTGTGTGGAATAAGTTTTTAAAAAGTGATTGAGAAATTTTGACATTTTACATTCTCAGGAAAATACCGGGTATTTCTCCAAAATTTATAATAGGAAAATATCAGCATTTACTATTTGTACGTGTTTTTGCTTAATTGAATCAGATTTATTTTTAGACCGTGCTGTATTTTAGATACAGAATAGTTGGCAAATACAATGCTGTATACATGGCTAATACAGAACGGAAAGTAGCTCTGCCCACCACAGTCCCGTTCTGTATTGCTAATACAGAACAGTAAACTTCAAAGAAAAACACCGCTATCGTGTCACAAGAAGAAAATATGGGACAATGTTTAAAAAAACCCAGATCCGATCCGATAAGGTAAATTTGCTACATAAGTTCGTTTAAAGTTTGTTACCTGTGATCAAAGAGGCACCCAAATAATTAACTACTATGATGAATATATTCCGACATGCGAACGAAAACCAATATCCCATTTTTAGAAAAAATAAAATAAAAAATGGATATGGTTTGTGCATTAGAAATAGAGAAATCTTTAAAAAAAAATACACATATATTTAATTATTTAGCAACTGCTTTCAAATTAAAAGAGAACTGGTACATGTTAAAAATCTTGAAATTGAAAACTTAATTTTAAATTATTAATTTTTTTTCAGTCAGAGAAATGACACAAGCCAAACAAACTTTTTAATAATACCTGAATAATTATCAATTAGCTGCAACAGGAGTCAAAGGATAACAAAATTATAAGAATGGAGTATTATTCGTCAAACTTGTTCTTAACATTGCAATAATATGTCATTTAATAATAATTCAATCTCATCCATAGAGTGCTTATTTAAATGTCACATTTGTACAAGTTCGAGTGATTGATTGATTGATTGTGTATTTTTTAACATCCCTCCCGAGAATTTTCCACTGGAGACGCCATCAATTGCCAGTGTCCTATACTCGCTACGCAGGATCACTGAGCAGGGAGGGATCTTTTTCGTGCTAGAACCCACTGGGACAACGGACCTCGGTTCATACGGTCTCACCCGAAGGACCTGTCTCCACGTCCTGCAGTGGGATTCGAACCCGCGACAAAAAGGATCAATTCCTTACTCCACGACTCAAGAGCAGACGCTCTTACCACGTGGGCGACCAAGATCAAGTGAAGATAACGAACATTCATCGATCTCATAAAATCTACATAAAAAATTGTGAGCAGGGCAAAAAACACGAATCTAGAAAGTCATGATGTGGAAATGTACATGACGTAGATAAATAAACTCTGTAATTATTTTTAATAGTTGTAATATACATTAATATCAATTTCTCTCATAATTTGTTCATATTTATATCAAGACATTTTTATGCTGTATATAATAGCAATTATAAGTGTTTATTAATTTCATTTTTGAATAAACGTTTTTTATTCTTATCATAATTAACATTAGCGACTAGCTGCTATTGCTGGAATGTGAAGCTTACTCATCATCCCCATACACACCAAAATATACTTTTATTTCTGTACATGACGTTTCTAATCATGGGCGAATAGAATAACTTAAAGAAGTCAGTGTCTTACATACTCCTATTTTACTTATAAGTTGGTTTTTTAAATAAAATATTTTGATGAAAATTACAAAATTATAAAACATGCATTAGGATTCCATATGCGAATCAAATGGAGATAAGGAATAGTATTCAAGATCAAAAGTTCATAAAGGAATGGACAACAGGAGCAGAGCAAACACGGATCTACAAAACATAAGAGGTGGGATCACGTGCCATGGAAGAGTGAGCATCCCCTGCCGACCGGTCAAATCCGCCGTGTGCTCCTTGTCATGATCGGGAAATAACGGAAAATCCGTCGTCAATTCAGTGTATAAATAATGGACTAACAATTAGTATGAAAAACGTCAGCCAGCATTTGACTAAATGATAAATTGTATTTGCTGACAAGGTCATTGTATGTACCACAGAACTTAAAAAATGATGACTTTAAACGAGACTGTTGATATTCTTGTTTCATCAACTTGTTCGTCAATAATTTACCTCGTTTTTCAAATTTTTTCACACGTAGGTATGTTCTTGCATATTGAATCAACTGAGATATATAAACTCCGTAGGCAGGTAATGAAGGAGAATTGTTGATCAATACTCAGAACATACTCTAGATGACAACTGTTTCAGTGTGGGACGGTATTCTATGTAGGTCAGTTTACTGGAGTACAGAAGACCGTCCTCTAGTGTCCTGGAGTCGTGATTCTCTTCCCAGCTTACCAGATCCTAGGGACCCCTACATGCCTAAGAACTCCAGCCCCCTGAAAGACCCCATTCAATACGCCTTGGGGTGTCTGAAGGGGCCCATCTCCTGTTGAAGAAGAGGACAGCATTCTAGGTACCCTAGATTATTTGGCCCAAGGGATACTGCTCCTAAAAGCATTTCCTGACTGGTGTCCCTCCATTTAATGATCAGGCCCCGGAGCTGGTGTTCCAGAACATCCTAAACAGAGGTCTGTATCAACAAAAACATGTATCAATCACTTATGAATTTTCTTTGGATTTTATAATTATGATGTCAGTGAGAAGTAAAATATGTGCCTGTAGAGATTCAACTGTAACAGTGATTTATGTTCTATAGATATCCCATGGCCATGGGAAGATGAGAAACCATTATCCGTAGATATGTTATTGTATTGACCTCTAACACAGCTGTGTTAATTGTAGATGTCCCATATCCTGGAAAAGATGAGGAACCATTATCTGTAAATATTTCAGTATATTGACCTCTAACACAGCTGTATAAATTGTAGATATCCTATGTCCAGGAGAAGATGAGGAACCATTATCAGAGAATGCTAAGTCAGCCATTGATGTA